GTCATATGGCCTTGTATCTCAGTATACCATTGCGTGTGAAAAATTATATAGCTACATTGAGAGTGGCTGTTGTTTCAGCCTCACAGAGTAACTCTTATTTTGGCAGGCAGTTAGCATAAGGGGAGATCATTTTGATCCAGTTAGTGTAATGAGCTGATTTGAAACTAGACTTCAGTATTTGAGAAGGCTGGTTTCTTCCCAGTTTATCTCTATTGTAAGGATGTGCATCTTCAGGTGTCCTAACTGAAAGCCTAGGTATTTTACAATACTCTTTTTCTACTGTGGGTCTTGAACTCCAATTTTCCTTTTCCAAGAAATTGTGATGGCAAGAATTACTGTTCGTTTTCTGAGCCTCAGACACAGAGTTTTTGTTCAGTTTCTCGGCTTTTCAACAACCGTTTGCCTTGGCAAATATCCCAAAAGGGGAAAAGCTGCACGCTGGTGTCAGACTTAATTTGCTGCATGTTTTCTTTTGGGTCTCAATGCCTCCAGCACTCATTGTCCTCTTAGTTCTCTGATGCCTTCAAGACATGTTTCATTTTTATATTTTGTAAAATGTAAAACCTTTTCTGGTTGTACTTGACAGAGAAATTGACTAATACGGTTAATTTTCTGATGATAGCAACACAGGGAAAGACGAAATATTAGGTGGTCATTAAGAAGGTGACAAATGCATGTGCAATACTAACACTAGTATCTTTATATTTTAAAAGTGAATTCTAGTGGGGAGCAAGCAGAAGAAAACAGAATGAAGGAAAGGTGGTAACAGGGACTTTGATGACAAAATATAATGATGTTCTGTGAACTAGAAGTTGATGAGGCAGCACTGAAATAGTCTATTTTTATTTAACTTCTGTTGGCACAAGTGAAGAGTAATTTTCACTTGTTTGGTAGTTTATGGACCTTGAAAGAAATATTCATTTTAGTTTTCTGCCTCTATTTTATTACCTAGAAATTCTTCAAAACAATTTAGCTTTTTATCCATTTCTATGCAGCATCCCCTTTTTTTGGAATAAAATTAATGTGACAACATTACCATTTTTCAGTTTCCCTTTGGCTTAATTTTTTCCTTCATTTGAGTCCTGAATTATGGTCTATTTTATGTAGAAATGTGGAAAGTTGTATAGGTCTTGAACCCATTAATTCCCTTCCACATATACTGTCTCTTTTCTATTCTAGTTATTGTAAAGAATGATTTTGTTTATGTTTTTAACAATATGCATGTGGAAGTAGATTCATCTTTACCTGTGTTGCTATCATCAGAAAATTAACTGTATTAGTCTATAGTAATTAGTCCATAATAATCTAGGGCAACACTACTCAATAAAAAGGAGTTCTGCTATATGGCAGGTACTAACCACATGTGGCTACTGAACTCTTGGCAAGGGGTTGGTTAATACTACAAAGGCATTGATATTTTAATTTTTTCAATTTTAACTAAAAATTTAATTAGTCGCATGTGGCTAGTATCTGCCACACTGTATAGTGCAAATATAGGACATGTATAACTAGGTAATCTAGAGAGTCCAAATTACTGTATGAAAACGATTTTTATTTTTATAAAATGTATTTTTAAGCAAAAATAGACTTTAAAATTTTGTAATATGGAATGTTTATCCCCTTGTATTATTAATAAAATAATAGCAAGGTTATTAATGAGAAATTTAACTTTTGAACAATGTTACTGTTCCTTTTTTGCAAGCCACTAAGTGTCCTTTAAAAAATAAAAAGACAACTTAGTCCCTTAGGCATGCATTTATCTTTAAATTATCTTATTATTTATCTTTAAATGATATATTTATACTAAGATATTTTTTCTTTTAGTAATCATCCTGGTTACAAAAATATCACTCCACATAGAATGATCTTATTCACTCTGAAGAATTTGGAGTTAAGTAATTTTTGGTTAAATATGAAAAGATTTTAAATGTTTTTAGTAGTCATGTCTTATTTCTAAATCTATTTTTTTATAATATATTTATGTTTGTAACATTATACAATAAGGAGCCTATAATTGATACAAATAATACCTTTGGGGCAGTTCCAGGAATTTTAATAAAAAATAGGTTGATAGTATCTAGTGAATTTAAGGAAAAGAATCATCTGTCATACTTTGACATTTTTCTAATCACCTGTGATTTCACAATTTCCCTTCTACTTTAGTAAATAGTAAGTGATTTTAATGGAAATGGAAGGGAGTTTCTGCCATGCAGAGACGTCACTTTTACCACCCACTACAGACACCCCTTTCTAGTTTGCTTATTTCTGCCAGCATGAAAATTGCTACCATGATACTAAAATCGAAGGAAATAAACAATAGACTTGTACTGCAAAACCATAACATGACTACTAAGTTTTAAAATATATAATGCTGCAATTTGCAATCAGATGAGAACTCAGTGCTAATTCATGGTTTATTATTATAATCAGTTAAGTTAATTATAGTTTACTTGGCTGTGAAAAAATGCCAGTAATATCAAGATATTGGTTATACTTTGATTAGCCAAAAATTATTTGGTACTGTGTGCTAACATTTTTAACTGACAATATTTTACATCATATTTTCAATAGTATATATTTAAAAAATTCTAGATCTTCAGTTTCATATGTAAACAAAACACAGCTGTTTGATGTAATTTGTGGCTTGATAGATGATGGAAATGACTTCTGATATTGATAAAACTCATTTGTTTGGCTGTTCTTTGCCTGTACTGTTAAAATCAGCCAAAGCTATCATTTTATAAATTTTAATACAAATTACTAAAGTGTGTAATGTTCTTAAATCACAGGTGTTTTAAAAAATAACAGGACCTGATATTGTCTGGGTATCTTTTTATTAGCAGATAGTAATTATTTTTTAATTGAACAGAAAATGTTGAGCAATATTACATTGAGTGTTTTACACGAATTTACTACAACTTCTTTTGTGACGCCCTAGGTGTAGATAGCCTCATCCATGGTAGTACTTCAAGGGTATACATCACTTAGCAGTGATTCATTCATACTTAACCATTAACTAACATGTTTCAACAGCTTGTTTGTAACCAGGATTTTCCATAGAATAACTAAACTCTCACTTTTTCCCCACTATTGAGGCCGAACTGTGCCTTTGCGGTCATGATTATCTATAAATTTAGGGAGGATGTTAAAGTAAAGTTGATTACATGAGAACTGGGTCATTCTGCACATTTAATAGCCCATCTTCTATTGAAGTTCATACCATCTAATTGTAACACCTTCTCTTTCTCTTCAACAACTTGAATAAGGTCACAGACTTCCTCACTAGTCTCTACTGCTACCATTCTTGAGTGATTTTTAATATCTTAATAATAATCCTTCTGTCAACAGAGTCTCACTTTCCCCAGTGTTTTTTAATATTAGGTTTTCTCTTCTACTGTAAACACTGTCATCCCTCAGAACAGGCACATTTTCAAGACCTCAAAATTTGAAATTGCTCTCTCCTAACTATCTCTCTTTCTTCTAATTGCATAGTGCCTTTTTTTCACTGAATTTTTTTACATCTTCTGTGACTTCTAGTCCCATACTCCACTATTTTTGCATATTTCTCTCCACTACGGCTATCCCTACCTCACTCCGTTTATCTTGCCTAATCTGGACTCCCTAGACAGCCCTTTTAGCACGATTTGCCCTCCTTTCCTTTCTGTATGACATCTGATCTGTGTTGTCTCTACTTAGTCTCCCCGACTCATTGAGTTGATGAAAGCTAAGTGGCCACTCTTTAATTCTTTCATTTTTATGTTAAACATTTAAAATTTCCCAAAATTGTCACAGCTTTTCAGTCTTCAAGTGTTCCTTTGTCAATTTCACTCTTCCAAACCACATGCCTCCTCTTTTACTTAGAAAAAAATGAGTCTAGCTGATGTAAGTTTTGCCAACTCACCACCTCTGTATTGCATCTTTCTAAGCTTCTGGAAATGTTTAAGTACCTAAAAAACCCAGATATGCTGATTAATATTTAGGTCATAAGGATGAATGTTGCTAAGTTGTTCACAGTCCTCTGTGGAAAATAGACAAGAAAGAGAATTAAAAATAAGGGACATGTCCATAGCAGACACAGGAACACAGGGATGGGAATGTTTGAATCTCCGTGGTTCTTCATGAAATCATATGAGAAGTTCAGTGTATAGCAAGAAATCTTCTGTAGCTGTGTTACATTGTTCAGGATGAGTGGACAGGTTTTTACATGTTTGACTACTTTTTACTTTGATGATAATGAATTAACTCTTCATATACACATTTTTTTTTGACAGAGAGGTCACAGGAGCATTGAGAATGGAAGAAAAATAGTCATGCTCCCAGGGAGCCACCAGTAGTGTCAACCCAATTCTAATTTTCTATATCACCCTTTTAATTCTGTGGCACAGTGCTCCCTGCCAAAGATTCTTCAGCTCTTAGTCCTTCTGATAAGAGCCTTTTTAATCTGAAAAGCTACAGTGGTACATGCTCTCTAATGACCTATTTTTCCTATATATAGGAAATAGGGGAAATATATGCTTGAAATCAGAGTAGTCTGTGCCAAAGGAACTGTCCAGAAGGAACAAGTACATCATATTTATGACATTCTTGGTTGCCTTAACTGCTACTTGAGAGTGTGTGTTTATTTTGTATGGACTCAAGTAGAGAACAGCAATCAAACTTGGAGCTAAAATTAGCGGAGATAATGTTAAGGAGGTTTTTCATCTTTGATTAGTAGATGAATATGACAGATATACAGTTGCTCTTATCAGAACTTATAACCTATAGCTGTGAATCCTACTTTTGAAGTACGTCTCTCAAGTGCTATGATGTACATTTTGTTATGTTTGGGTTAAAACCAGTAAAGCCTCTCAGCATTCTACAGTATGGCATACTGGCAATATGGCTGTTTTTCTCTGACAATTAATGTGGGTAGATTCTACAATGTCTAAAAGAATGTTGGTGAAACTATTTAGATTTATTTTCTATGAATAATTTCAATGTACTGTCTCTCTTATATTCAGGTTCAAAACATTATTTGTGGCTGGAGAGCGATGTGATGTGGAGACCCTGGAATGGTCCAAAAAGGTCTTCAGAGTACCTGTCCTAGACCATTGGTGGCAGACTGGTGAGCATATTCCATGCACATTTATAAACATTGCAGAAATGCTAAAAAAAAAGCTCTACAAGGATTGGAGGAAAAATCAGCCACAAACTCGGGATTCAGGTGGTTCTGGTTTCAATAGAAATAAGCAGTTCTTTGATTATCCTGTTATTAAAAACATCGCCAAAATGACACCAATACCGCCATTCTCTTGGTCCCTGGCTATGAAGCGCTGAGCACCTTCTGTTTCTCCTCTTTGTTCCCTATATCCCGGAAGTCGCTAATGTCAGCTTTTCCTTTGAAGAGTCTGCTGGATTCACCCTGCTGTCAGCACTCCCACTGCCTTTGAGCTGTGGCAGCTGCACCGCAATCTGCCCTGATTTAAATGACCCTCATCACTCATCTCTTTTCTTCTGCTTTTCTGTACACCTTGCTCACTGCTCCCCGAGCTCACTTTCTGAAGCCCTGTGTCTCTCGGCTTTCCTGAGGTCCTCCACTCCGTTTGTGTGCTCTGTACAATCAAAGCTCTTCCCCCTAACATGCAAGGCAGAGAAATGTATTTTTCTCTAAAACACTCACCATTATGTTTGTGATTTATTTATTTACTTGTTTTATTTTCTATTTTCCTCCCATGAGGTGATCATTGGGAAACAAATTGTTATATTAAGTGGATATAAAATTTGGTACAAACAAAAAAACCCTCTCTGCTGCTTCTTTTGAGGGAAAATTATGTACCTATGTGCAAGTAAGCAGGTTATTTGGAATCTGCCACCCTCCTCCTTGAGTGTAGGGCTTTTGTTGGGCTCTCCATCTCACCCACTGGAAGTAGTTGGGAGAGCCTTATAGCCTTCATATGTATGTGCATATTCCAGTTCAGTGTTACTTAGTTCAACAAATTAGATCAAGACCTTTTATATTACTGTTTTCAGAATTCCCATCTTGTGAGCAACCGGGGCAGTGGAATCAAGTTTGGATGAAAAAAATAGTAAAGTTTTTGCAAAAAGTTGGTCAGATTTTAAAAATGATGAGAGTCTAGAAGAAGTGATTGACTGAAACTGAAGTTCAGTGTTTACTATTTTAGGACTCTTCAATTCTGATAAATTATACTTCTTATATTATCTTCTTGGATATTGCTCTTCAGAAAGATGTGTTGTCTATATCCTTTGTAATATGAAATATAAAATGAATGACTAGAGCAGAATACACATTCCTTAAATAATATGAAAATCTGAAAACGTTTCTATTCTGTCTAGTCTGATTTACTAAGGGAGTCATTTCTTATCTATTTTCGAATTTGTAACTACTTAGAAAATAAAATAAGACTGAATTTGGAGAAAGAGCAATGCTCTGTGTAGAAATACATAACAACAAATGAATTACTGCCCCTACAAGGAAGAGTAGAGAATTGATGCATCCCCTATTTGCTGGGAAAGTTCTAACGGTTATTTTCCTGGGCAGGACGAGAAAAATGTCACCTTGCAGATGGTTTTCCTTTCCTCGTCAAAGTGGAGGGATTCTTTCCAACAGCGACCTTACACAAATGTTTGGAGAAGGTTTTGTTTTCCCCCACTAAAGGTGACTCTGTCAAAGCTGGTTGAAGGGAAACTAACACATGAATAAATAAAATTAATGATTCTTTTAGTTTTTCTTATTGATATCTTTGCACATAATAGCCTGTGTACATGTATGTAGTTAGTGCATCCGGGCTTACAGAAAAGCTCACTGAAGCCTGACAAACAAGTTCTTGAGGTCCCTGGTGAGTGCAGAGTTTCATGTGAATTTGCAATTTTTCTTTAACACATTGTTCAGAGGGAATTAATGATGACGTTATGTCAGTGTGCTGTCACTTTAATCAGGTTTGAATGGTCACTCATTACTATGGAAAACAGTGGATTTCTTCTAATAAAGACTGATTCTTGCAACCCCCCCCCACAATTCAAGTTTACAGAATTTGATATTGTGTCTAATTAAAGTATACAACTACATGCATATGTATAGGTAGGTAGGTAGGTATCTAGGGGCTAGCTAATTTTGTACTTTGTAAAACATAATTTATTGTAGCTGATGCAGATGTCATTTATTAACAAAATCTGATCAGAATCTTTATTCATTAACAGAAGAAACCAGTTCATGATTTTCAATGTTATATGTTACAGTAAGGAACTGCAAAGTGATAATTGAAGTTGAAAGTTTGCATCTGTACAGGTTTCTTATGGTAATATCAGATTCATCTTAAGGTGATAGCAAATTAATGCTCAATCACTGGGGAAAAGGGCAAGTACTTTGTAGGTTATTGTTAACTCCTAGGAAAAAAAAATGAAAAATTCGATATTTCTAGTACATTCATAAACTACCTAATGTTTTATTATATATCATATAGATCATGGTGCACTTCTCCACGGAGTATGCCAGTAAAAACTTGGTAACATTTGAGGGAATGTTAAGCTTTGGCCGAAGGAATATTTTTATTTATTTCAAATTTAAAGTTTTCTACAAGGTCTCTCTAGTTATTGACTTAGAAATTGATTTTTTTATACAATCGCACACTTTTATGAGCCTTCCATATAATGTATAATTTATGAATTTGCTCTCTGATTACATTAATATATGTGTGCAAATGAACTGCTTTAGGAACTGTGATGTGTGATTTGGAATTACTAAGGAATATGTTAAGTAACTGAAATATATGAATACAAATTGATTAGTTCCTGTGACGTGGGCTATAAGAAGGCACTCTGCAGTCAGTCCAATTTATTACCATGTTGTTTTTGTTATGCAAGTGAAATTTGTGTTAGCAAAAACAGATTTCTGGTGACTAACATCCTCTTTTGACTCATTAATATCAACACACTTGAAGTGTGATTTAAATACCTAAGATTCTAAGTCAAGAACTAATCTGGAAAATTTGAGAACAGATCAACTCCTTGTAGGTGCACTTTATTTATTTATTTTTTTAGTGATCTAAATTAATAACTAAGATCATATTTTGAAAACTATGACAAAAGCAGATTAAAATGAAATATTTGATTTTCACAAATAAACACTGCACATGATGATAGACACTCTCAGGACAGGTTTGTTTACAGCCATATCTGTGATGTTGCTATGAAAATCAGCGAGACTTACAGGGGAAAAATGCACATTTGCTGTGTCTGACTCAACATACTGCTATGCTCTGCCCCTTAATCAGATGCCTATCTCCATTTATTTATTTATTTATTATTTATTTATTTTGGTATCATTAATATACAACTACATGAGAAACATTGTGGCTACTAGATTCCTCCCATTATCAAGTCCCCACCACATACCCCATTATAGTCACTGTCCATCAGCGTAGTAAGATGCTATAGAGTCACTACTTGTCTTCTCTGTTCTATACTGCCTTCCCTGTGCCCCTCTCCCTACATTATGTGTACTAATCGTAATGGCCCTTACTCCCCTTTTCCCTTCCTTCCCATCCCCATTCCCCAGTCCCTTTCCCTTTGGTAACTGTTAGTCCATTCGTGGGTTCTACGAGTCTGCTGCTGTTTTGTTCCTTCAAATTTTGCTTTGTTCTTATGCTCCACAGATGAGTGAAATCGTTTGGTTCTTGTCTTTCTCTGCCTGACTTATTTCACTGAGCATAATACCCTCTAGCTCCATCCATGTTGTTGCAAATGATAGGATTTGTTTTCTTCTTATGGCTGAATAATACTCCATTGTGTATATGTACCACATCTTCTTTATCCATTCATCTACTGATGGATGCTTAGATTGCTTCCATTTCTTGGCTATTGTAAATAGTGCTGTGGTAAACATAGGGGTGCCTATGTGTTTTTGAATCTGAGAAGTTGTATTTTTTGGGTAAATTCCTAGGAGTGGAATTTCTGGGTCAAATGGTATTTCTATTTTTAGTTTTTTGAGGAACCTCCATACTACTTTCCACAATGGTTGAACTAGCTTACATTCCCACCAGTAGTGTGGAGGGTTCCCCTTTCTCCACATCCTCACCAGCATTTGTTGTTCTTATTCTTTTCTATGTTGGCCATCCTAACTGGCATGAGGTGATACCTCATTGTGGTTTTAATTCGCATTTTCTTGATAATTAGTGATGTGGAGCATCTTTTGATGTGCCTGTTGGCCATCTGAATTTCTTCTTTGGAGAATTGTCTGTTCATATCCTCCACCCATTTTTTAATAGGGTTATTTGCTTTTTGTGTGTTGAGGCATATGAGTCCTTTATATATTTTGGATGTTAATCCCTTGTCATATATGTCATTTACAAATCTTTTCTCCCATACAGTAGGATGCCTTTTTGTTGTGCTGATAGTGTCCTTTGCTGTACAGAAGCTTTTTAGCATGATGTAGTCTCATTTGTTCATTTGATTTTGTGTAGGTGAACTTTAATAAAGACTTGTCACTGTTCAGTATGCAGAAGCATTGAGCCCCTGTTTTGGATTATAATAATGTAAACATTTAATGCTCTCATGAAGGGAATTGGTCTTGCTAAGTTTATGTAGGAGAGTTCTATTTGATTCATAAATCTATATAAAAAATGAGTTATCAGTCACCCAGATGTTTTCTCTTCACAGTAACTTACCCAGAAGGTGATTGGAAATACCGGGTTCATTAACTGAGTTTTTCATTTTTTTTTTTACATTGAGATTGAGAAACAGAAGTACTACAATGATAATCTAAAAAGAGAAATTTCAGAGAATAGATAATTTTTCCATTAATGTATCGTAATTCATACGCAAAAAAATAAACAGAACTTCATTATCCTCAGGCGTACAATCACCAGATAAAACATTGTACTATTATGAATCATTTTTAGTTCTATGTTCAGCTTTTCCAGAAATCAGACTGGGAGCACGATTTTAGAAAGAAAAAGCTCTGAGTGATGTGCATGGTGTCCTTTCAGAGGCTAACTACCAAATAGATTTTCAGAGATTAACTATCAAAACCCAAAACATAGTAACTACCAAAACCTTATTTCTTTGGGAGGTTTCCTTCTCTTCATCCTCCAACCCCCACCACATGTC